GATAGATAGATAGATAGATAGATAGATAGATAGATAGATAGATTCCTTAAAACCCCCTGATGCATTTCTCAGGGCTCCCCACAGGCTCCCCAACCTTTTTGCTCATACACTGCAACTGTTTCAGGGCGATGTGGACCTGAAATCATCCCTCTATTTTCAATGTCGTCTCCACCCAGCTTGCTTTCTTTGCACATGGTGTCAGCCTGCTGGCCACCTTCTCCTTAGTCTTTTGTGCATTCTGCCCCAGGAGCCAGAGATGGTAGCCAAGGCCTTCTTTTAGTGAGCCTGCAATTTCCATCCATGTGAATGGCAGCATCTGCCAGGGGGGAGGCAAGGGATATCAGGCTGATGAAAGCAGTGTCCCAGCATCACACCTCAAGCTCCACCTCATTTCTCCATGTGTTGTGATATTACACACAACCTAAAGGGGTGCAGCTTGTAGTGCAGTGCTGAAACTCTGCTTTGTAATTCTCACCAAAGCAGTGAGAGTCTGAGTTTATGGATGATATTTTGGGGCAACAACTGGATGGAGAGAAAAGATGAGGAGGAGCTCAACAGCCCTACCCCCACTCTACCTCCTATTGTCCTAGGACTTTCTTAGATGTACTTGCTTCAAGCAGAAGACACAAGGAAGGCAATGGGAAGATTGGGTGGCTCAGCCCCCACCCCTGTAGATGAGGAGAGGAGTGAGGTGCTAAGATGCACCAACCTTGTTCTACTTGCCCTATAAGACGTGTTTAGCTTCAAAACAGAACAGATCTACAAGGGAAAATCAGAGTCAGACAATGGGTGGCAGTCTAGATTGAATCTCACATGAAGTGCAGTTGAATGCCTTAGAAGGTGCCCTCTAATTTCCACCTGGGGAATTTTCAGGAATTAATTGACTTGGGGGGATGGAATTAACTCATCTTGTACTTCCAGTAAGTTTGAAATCTAATCCCTGGGTTTGAACTTGATAACTATTCTTTAAAGAGGACTTGGAAGATAGTATTCATTATGTTCTAATTGTTATTATAACTGATGGGTTTATTCAAAAGTATCCTGCTTCTGAAGGACTGTTTTCTACTTTACAATGGAGAGATGTGTGGAAAAATTGAAATTAAAGCTGAAAATGGGTTTAGTTTCTTACAAGACCAGTGGTTAGAATCCAGTTCCAAAGTTCACTTGGTAATTTTGGATCACTTACTACTTATTTCTCAGATTATTGTTATGAAGATAAAATGAAATGAGGAAGACATTATTTGATACTTTCATATTCTTTGAGAAAAGGCAGTATCTAAATTTAATAAATAATAATGCACTCCATATATTTGCTTGAGGGTTTACAGAGCAATTTAAATAGTTATATTCCTTCAGTAGATTCATTGTGATCATTATTATGATAAAGATTAATGCAATCATGGCTTGGAATAATCTTAAAATAAACTGAATACTTTCTTACAATGGAAAAATCAGATGACCAAAGGCTTAGTTATATGAGTTAGCCTGAACTCAGACATTTTCAATTTCATCTCCCATATTTCCCTCATTGGTCACATGACTGGGAGGTTTTGGAATTTTAATACAAAACATTTAGATAGCATAAAGTTCTCTTAGGCTACATTCTTAGGAGCCAATGTTTGTATTGAAATTGCAGTTAACATCTTAGTCATTAATCCACCATTAAGATTCGTTATGTTATCAGTCATGGCTCCTTTCCTATGACATTTCCTTCCAACAGATAGTTTCCTTCAATTGTTGTTGTTTTAATTTTTTTTAACTTAAAATTTTGGAGGGGTTCTAATTGAAATAATGTTGTTATATAAGCAGTTTTTACTATGAATATTGCATTTGTATTTTAAGATTTGGTTTTAGCTTGTTCTTTATGCTTATTTTCAGATTTGTTTAGAAATAATGTATGATCATTGATTTTTTATACTGAAATCAAATTATTGCTTAAGAGAAAGTTTAGATCTTAAGTAATGTTTTAAAAGAAGAAATACAACTGAGGTAGCAGAAGAAAAGAAACTAAAGTGAAAGTGAAACAGGGAGGAAAAAAGATTGTTCAGTTCAAACAAATGATCAAAAGAAAGATAAGCAAGTCTACCTCAGAAGATTAAATTATAATGTTACAACAGTCTGGATGCAAATATGAATCATAATACTATATGGGTTGTAAACTTATTCCAAAAGTTTATCCTTTTAAGAGAGATAATTTGGTACTGATGCAAGAAGGCTAAATCAAACTTTCAACTGATTTATAGGCCTTGGAGAAATCCCACAGTGTTGTTAAATATATCAGGCAAACAGTGGTTTTTCATAAATTCAAAAGACCACAACATTGTAAATGAGATTCTTCATGCATTGTAAGACAGATAGACAAATAGAATTTTTACCGTCCAATCTATGTTGATCACACAGGAGCATAATCCAAAGAAATTTAGGGCAGTTAATTTTTCCAACTTCAATGGGATTTAGGAATACTGTATCCCTTTCTGTTGGCTGAGAATTCTAGGAACTATCATTTTGGACATTGAGGGCATGTGGAAGATGGAACTACAAAAGTTAACAATTTGCTGACAATGTTTGGAAGGAATCTAGGAAACCCTAATTAAGACTGGTGGCTGCATGGATCCTAGGGTTTCCTGTCATGTACATCAGCCTATTTCAAAAAGCTCTGCCATAGAGACCATAGTATATTGAACCTGAATGCAACAGAGTACCGTGGTTTTCCAACAAACAGGAAATAAATTTAGAAAGCCCTCCCCCACATTTTTATGCACATAATTCCATCCATAATTTGGTATTCTATAAAACATGAATAGTAATTGTTATATTGCTTTGAAACAGTACTTTACAGTACAGTGTGTTACCATACTTTAAGCTGAACAATAACCATTTATGAAATAAATTCAGCTTTTAAAAAAAACTTCACAAAAAAAGCTTAAAAGGGGAGTAGACTAATATGAAATAAATTAAGAAAAACTTTTTAAGTAACACTTGTTTATACTTTTATTTCTTTGAACTCCCATGGATACATAACTTTTTTGGGGATAGTGTTCTCTGATTGACTTAAGGAAACATTTTGAAAGAGATCTTTTGGTGTGGTTTAGCATGTATCTGAACTCATTCAAATATGAAAATATTATTATTGTCTTTCTAAACTACAGAGACGTTTCTTAGGCTTTCTTAAACCAACTGTTCCTTGCTCTTTATTTCATTCTCCAAAGCAAAGCAGAAAAGATCATAGTTGCCAAGACTGCCTGTTGAGCAGCGATAACAGATTAGATTAAAAGTTTGGCTCATGCTGCAGGCCTCCAAGAGAGGTTATTTTTAATAACAACAACAACCCCATACATAAATATAATTTTAATTAGCAAATATATGAAGAGTAATCTGCTAAACATCAACACTCTTTTTCCTACAAAAGTCATTATTCTTGGGAAATATTTGCTTTCACACAATGAAAAGAATAAAATGCTGAAGGAAGCAGAGAGAGAGGCATCTGAGCTACACAGGAGCTGGAGTCGAAAGAGCCTCACTCCCCAGATCAACATATGTGGTGACAAATGACAAATTTATTTTCCTACAGAGTTTGTGTATATGTAAAACTGCTGAAGTGCATCAAGATGTCAAGTGCTTTTTGTGACCACCCAGGTTGCCTTGAAAGAGAACCAGATGAAAATATCGCTTTAAGCACTGGACAGAGCACTGAGCCTTGCATGCTACACTATCAACTAGAATAGGATTTTCCATATCAATCAGACCCCGATAATAATTCTAGGAATCTACTCTTAAAGTGCGTCACACTGACCCCCCACCAAAGCAGCATACCCATGACCAATCAAATTAACCGATCTGTTTGGTAGAGTGATATGTTTATTAATCAAAGTGCTATTCCAAGATTTGGTTCCTACTTCTGGACCCAAAAATGGCTGGACTGTAAAATATAATTACTTTAAAAATAAAACCTTTGCATTTGTTTTTTTTTTTTAATAAATATGCTATAAAATCCAGGCCTTTGTTGTATTTACAGGGTGCCTTTTTATCCCTGGTCCATCCAAATGTAATTTTTTGAAAATATTTATCTTAAGAGCAGAACCTTACTTTCAAAAAGCATATATAGTGTTACACTTTATTTAATTTCTACTTTCTCTGAGAGATTTAGCCATTTACAGAAGTGTAGCCAAGTTAGTTTGTTGCAATAAACATAGCTACAAGTTCAGAACTAACAATTACTTTATGGCTCAAACCTTACGAAGATCTCAAATCCATCAGAAACTTCCTAATGTCCTGATACATGTATTAGTCATTAATATACCACAAGGCACTTTGGTTTTTTTGGATTTTTTTCCTAAGAACTGAATACTCATTTTGATGGAATTATCAAGATTCATAGTTTTGATTGCTGAGTAAGATGCTTCACTAGCTGGCTTATTCAGCATAGATATTTACTGTCTCTCTGAGAGAAGAAAACAAAAATTTAATTATATTAATAAGAAAGTAAAGGCACCTTACGTTGAGCTTGACAGATATATTTGTGGAGTATTCTTGGCAAAAGAGTGGAAGTGATTTGCCACTGCTTTGTTTGGGGATTTTTATTTTACTTTCCAGTCTAACTTACAGCCCTGGAATTTCCTGATGGTCCCCCATATAAGAACTAAAGCATCCGTGATCCTCCTTGGCTTCGTTTTAAGAGCTGTGCCCAACTTCCAATATTTACTTAGTGGTACAGCATTGATCTGCTGTAGTGTTTGCATTTATTATGCAGCGGAATTGATATCATGCCTTTTGGTGAAATGAATAAAATATTCCATTCCCCAGCATTATTAATAGGGTGTCTTAGATGACATGTATATCACATTTCACCTTTCTAAACATTTAGATATCCATATGAACAAGCAGAACCTAAGCATTTATAATATATTGGTGAGTGTTGAAGTTGTTAATGAATTCTTGGTAAATTCTTAGTTGGTCTGCATTCTACATGTAATAATGTAACTGAGAGTTGAAGAAATAAGAAGGGTCTCTCTTCCTTTGGTTAGTTTATAGGTTCCTACAGACTGTAGTGCAAGGGCAACTTACATTTTCCATTCAAATTCATGGAATGCTCAGCCTAATTTCAAAAGCCTTCTATAGCAATTAGATCAGTCCATTGGCAAGAACAGTCTTATCTTCTAAAAGGGGAGGGAGGGAAGAAAAAAATGGGGGATGGCAGAATGAGACAAGGAGAAAAGAAAAGTAGGTAGAGACAAATACATTGCAGCAGTGCTTCTGGCTTTAGTTTTTACAGGTTATATCAAGGGAGTGTAGGCCTGTATATTTTTGTCATAAGTGGGGTATGGTTAGAAGACAAATATTCCTGCAGCCTATGTGTTTGTGGATATTTAATATCATTAAGTGGGCTTGACACTACTTGTTCCACAAAGACATTTTTTATTTATTTTATTTCAACTTCCTCCCACTAATTCATTATGTAGTAGAATTATCCACTAGTATTGTTTATTGGTGAATAAATACATTGAGATATTTATCTAAAATTATTGTGCCTCATATATTCATTTGTGCAATATAGAATTGGTGGAATATATTAGATGGATTGATAAAGATGTTATAATTTGTGTCAGTATAACACAGAGATACATAAACAGTAGTTTTTCATAAGGATTCTGTAAAGTAATATGCTGGCTATGAAAAATACATTTTAAATCTGCTACAGGTAGTCCTTGACCTTTGACCACAATTGGGACCAGCACTTCCATCGCTAAGTGATGTGGTCGTTAAGTGAGTTGCGCTCAATTTTATGACCTTTTTTGCAGAAGTCATTAAGCGAATCATGCAGTCATTAAGCGAATCCGGTTTCCCCCATTGACTTTGCTTGTTGGAAGCCCCCTGGGAAGGTCGCAAATGGTGATCATGTGACCCCAGGACACTGCAGTTGTTGTAAATACATGCTGGTTGCCAAATGGCTGAATTTTGATCATGTGACTGCGAGGACACTGTGACGATTATAAGGGTGAGGACTGGTCATAAGTCACTTTTTTCAACAGTGTCGTAACTTCGAACAGTCATTAAGCAAATGGTTGTAAGTCAAGTACTATCTGTACTGTTACTTTACAAATCATAGAAACAGTTCCCAAATCAGCTATGGAAATTGATAGTCTTCAGTATAAGTTTGTAAAAATCCAGTGCAGTTACAAATTTGGAACATGTTCAAAAATCAACTCCAGCAGAAAAGCAGTTAACTTGTTTAAAGAATTTTCAGAATATATCTTAATTTTCAGGACCACTTTGTTCTTATTTTTGACTTTGATAACCTAAATACATTGTAATGTAAGAAAGTTGCAAATTCAGCAAACTGGGAAAATAGATGGCTTCATTCCATAGGGTCAGTTGTTCTTCAGGACCACACCGACTGCATTTTTATGAATATTTTTATTGTTGGTTATCTGTAAAACATGCATAAATAAGCACTGTAGAGTGTTTGATTGCTGCTCCTAAATCTGAGATTTTGGCATGATTTCTAATCAGATTTATTATTGACCTATTTACTCATGGCATGGTATTTATAGTATTTTTATTAAACTCCTCAAGAATAAAAAATAATATGTAACAAACAATACATCCAAATATTTGACAGGTTTTTATTTTTAATTAAAGGATGTCTACTTTTCTTCTGAAGCTTTTAGAGCTTTTAGAATGACATGCATGCTGTGTATTAGATTAAGAAAAAATAAGCAAGAGTTGGAACTGTATCCATGTCCAACATGTTATACCACAACTGTCTCTCTATTTGCCTAACTTTTTACTTTGTTGTCTTCTGGATAACACATATAGTCACATTGGGCTTATTCTAGAATTTACAAATGAGACAGTGGAATTGAATAACAAATGAATTTATTTTATTTATATTTCAAATTTCAAGGCCACCCAACTCCAATGACACTAAGTGGCTAACATATAAAAAGGATAAAAGAGCCAAAATAAAATCCAAAAAGATAATCATCTGAAAGGAAACAACTGATTCTTCCCACCTGCCCCAACAAGAGATAGAAACAGACAAAACACTCCCCAGTCACCTTAACCCAAGACCTGGGAAAACAGCCATGTTTTTAATGGTCTATTAAAGACCAGCAAGGTTATCTGTAATTATTGTAAGAGATCATAAGATCCTAAGAGATAAATATTCTTCCAGCAGAATAATTAGAGTCCCAATGGAAAAGATCCATGCTATTTCTTAAGCCCCACTGATGTACTCTGTTGGGTTTATGAGTTATTTTCAGCATTCATGCATCATGAAGATTTGCATAATAAACTATGCTATTTCTAGGCTCTGTGTTTATATTGATAAAAAATTCCCTTATGACATAATTGTAAGATACAAAAATGAATGAAAATCTGTATTATGTAATGTAACAGTTGTAAATATGATATCTATATTCAGTATTATTGTAAAGCTTCTCTCTGTACATTCTGGTTTTAATGGTTCGCCTGAGATGGGAACTTTTTGGTAATTGCTATTTCTTAAGCCTTAATTTCTTTTTATTAATTGTACTGCAGAGATGTGAATATGAATAAACCTCTTCTTTGGTGTTATTTGCCTATATTAGTTTTCTTCTGTAAGGTAAAGGAGTATGCTTATGTACATTTTGGGGAAGGATATTTGTATTTTAAGGTGTAAGATATCAAAATTAGTCAGTGGCCTGGTTCACACATAATGCTAAATTGCAATTCCTTTTAACTTGTGCAAGTCATTGGAGTATGCTTATGTACATTTTGGGGAAGGATATTTGTATTTTAAGGTGTAAGATATCAAAATTAGTCAGTGGCCTGGTTCACACATAATGCTAAATTGCAATTCCTTTTAACTTGTGCAAGTCATTGGAGTATGCTTATGTACATTTTGGGGAAGGATATTTGTATTTTAAGGTGTAAGATATCAAAATTAGTCAGTGGCCTGGTTCACACATAATGCTAAATTGCAATTCCTTTTAACTTGTGCAAGTCATTCTGTTCCATTCTGTCATACATAATATATGAGTGTTCATATCATACTAACCTCAAAATACAGAAAGTACATTATGGTTAAACATTATGTGTGAACCAGAACAATAACTAGTGAGGTGTTTGAATATTGTCTTTTGTAGAAAAGTAGCAGAAGACTAAATAGGAACTAACAAAAACTAATTTGCTAAACATTTCTTCCTTCCTTTTTTAAAGGTTTGCTCCAAATTACTGCTGACGACTTTTGTTTCTACTATGCAAGAAAAGATGGTGGCTTCTGCTTTCCAGATTTCCCAAGAAAACAAGTTCGAGGACCAGCTTCTAACTATTTGGATCAAATAGAAGAATATGGCAAAGGAGAAGATATCAGCAGGTTTATAAAGATAAATACTTTTTAATTCAGAAAGCCTGACAAATTTTTGTAGTTTGATAGTATGTTGAATCAGTTTCTGCTTATGCTCCCTAGCTATGTCATCCAGATGTTGATTTCTCCTGCTTTGGCTAGCAATCTGTTCTTTAAAATATTGAATTCTTGCATAATACATATTTTACTAATGATTCATAAAATTGTTAGATCAAATATATTGCAGATGTCTTATCTGAAATCTTATCTAATGTACTTAATAATTTTTTCTGATTTGTTGGAAAAAATCACTCTTGCTTTCCTGTTTATTCTTTCCACTCAATATTTTCATATTATTTTATTTGCATAATTTATTTACATAATTTATATCCTGCCTGATTTCACATACTCCACATGACTATACATAGTCCTTCATGATAAAAAATGGAATGAGATAATTTAAATTTAGTGCAATTAAAAAAAAGTTGTTTCTTATGTGGCCAATATATGATGGTCATTTGAAATTAATGAGAAATTCAACCAGTGTTTTTAGTAATGAGAGTTTATGGTCATCATGAGTATGAGGTTAGATAATATCCAACAATGATCCAGTTCAAACTTTCATAAATTTCTTCCAGATTTTTTTATCCCAGTTTTATCTCTGACTTCTGTATTATGCTTTGCTAATTCATTTTAATATTTTAATTTATTTGATTTATATCTCACCTCAAGGCAGTAAACATAGCATTGCTTCCTACTGTTCTTTTTTTTTTACAGGAATCACCCCTCTGCACAGCCTTTAACTACATAAATGTTGTAATATATAAGCTTAAAAGACCACAATCAACTTACTATCAACTGACATCACATGAGCAAACTTTCCCATCTCAGGCAGGAACCCAGGTTTGACCAGGACTGGATGCAAACCAGTCTTCAAATGTTACAAATCTAGCAACTATCCTACCATTATGACTTATCTGTTAGATTGAAGAGATACAAATTTAATAAAAAGAAAGAAGCAAACAGACAAACTAACTGGGACCAACTTTTCCAAGCTAAAAATGATAGAAATGCCTGTCTTTTAAGGAGGATATTTGTAAGTTCCCCAACTAACAGGACATTTGGCCAGTAGTTAAGATTCCACCCAAGAGGTAGGAAGAGTTTTATTGTGCTATGTGGATCCTCCTCCATTAGTTCTTGGCTTTAGTTCATGCCTCTAAACAACATTGCCCCTGGCCACTGGTCTCTCATCTGGAAATTATTAAATTAATCAATCAATTAAAAAATGGGAAAGGCTATGATAGCAATCTGATATGCTAAGTTGCTAAAAAGCAGCATTGTTTGGTGGGCTCTCCCTCTGGCCTTTCTATTCACAGATACTAATAACACATTCCAAATACCTACAGACTGGAATTACTTTTTAATTGTTCCACTTTTTAAGACAGGCAATAGCATGGAGCCTTCCAATTGTTGCCCAATCAGTCTTCTAAGCATTCCCACTAAATTATATGCATGCTTTCTGTAAGCTTCTGGATTGGCTAGAGTAGGAGAAATTTCTAGCCAATGAACAAGTGGTCTTTAGAGAAAGCAAATTAACTATGGATCAATGTGCTGTTTCATAGTTTTTAGCAGAGAAATACAAGCACACATACTGTACTTCCCCTCATTATATGTTGCATTATTGATACAAAATTGGATTTTGACTCCATCCCTAGAGAAAGTTGTTTCATTCATCCATGATTGGAGATTACTTTGCTTAATTAGGATGGTGCACAAAAATACAATTATGTAAACTAGATGTGGTAGTAGCTATCACCTTTCTGTAGATATTTTAATTCAGAAAAGAGTAAAACAAGTCTATATTCTGAGATTTTTAATATCTATGTAAATTCAATGGTCACCACCTTAATTAAAGCAGGATTCCATCACAGTAAACCTGACAATAGGCAACTGGCTGTGCTTCTCAATGTGGATGATCCAGCCATTCCTTCCTTAACTGAGGTTGGCTTTAGAAGAAGTCTGTGGGTGCTAGTGATTACTGCTAGGAAGAAAAGCTCTGAATAAATTATTCCAAAACCAAAATCTTGATTTTTTTAAAATGACTTAGACATCTCAAACATCAATTGCAAATAAGCAATAATAATCCATACCAGTTTCATTCTTTAAATACCTTGCCATAGTATTCCAATCCTTTGAAATGTGGTCTGAATAAAATTATTTTTAATGAGGCCAACAACAGACTGAACTTTTTTTCATATAAAAGGAGGTAATAACGTCCTTTCAACTATAAAACTTTTAAAGCCAAATCTATTTGCCAGACACTGCATGGCTCTCAGGTATGGGCATGTAATAACTTAGAGTCCTTAGATGTTATCCAGTCCTGATTCCTTAGAGCACTATTTCAAGTATCTTGCTGCATTTTTAAAAAATCACATTTCATTTAGAAACTGGAATGATCTACTGGAATCTAGGGTCTGCATATGCCACCTCTATTTCCAGCTCAAGGTTTACATTTCCAGCAATTCTAGATCATTTTTCTTCTTTCTGGAGAACTAAAATTCAGAACGATCTACATCAGTGTGACTTCTGTGTAAAAACTTTATGGGCCATGGGGCTATCAAGAGCTGGAGCTACAGTGTGGTAGCGTGTGTTTGACATAACTCTGTAGGTAGAATATGGTAATTTAGGCAATCAAAGCTGGCAGGATATAAACAGGAAACCAACCAAATCACCTGTTCAGTATGACCTGTCCAATGTAGAGCTCTTTCCTTAGTCTGCTTTAATGCCTTTAATGTGATATTGTAGGGAAGGTAAAATAATATCCCTTTTGCAGAGTGAACTTGCCCCTGTGAGTTGAAAGTACCTGAGATTCTAGCCCACATGTCCTTTCAGGGTCCTTTCTATATCAACTTGTGCCCTACCCTCATAACTCTACTTGTGAACAAAATTCTACCTGTTCATAGGATTTCAGTATTTCATCTGCTTTTCACTGTCACTGGAACCCTAAAATCCCCAGAATGCTCACATTTTTCTCAGCTGCCATTGCTCGATACAGGATAATATTTTCTTAGTTTTAGGCTCTTACAAATATACAAAAATTCTATTATGTTCTATGCTTTTGTGTATATACAGTATATAAAATCTCCACACACATACACATAAATATTCAGTAGTTTAGTAGCCCAGTATCTTAGCATCTCAGTATTTTCTTCACAATGTAATTAACAGTTTAATCAATTAGTTTTAAGAATTTAAATCTTTTTAATATACGTTTAATATTTATACCGTTTAGTAGTGTGAACTATTTAGTAGTCTGAACTATTTTATTAACTATTTACTTTTATTACTCTTAGAAAACATGTATGAACTTTAAGTTGGATCTTGTACTTTATAAGAAGTAAAATGATGGTCAGTGACCATAATAAAGATCCTATAACAATCCTGGGATATAGGTTGGGCTGAGAGAGAGTGCTGGGCAACGTCCATGACAATCCAACACCTTAACCACTTCCTATGTAATAAACAAAGTTTCAGTGTCAATAAATGTCAGCAGAGAAAGAGAGCTAGTGTGATATAGTAATTAAAGTGTTGGATTAGAGCCAGAGGGTCCCAGGTTCAGATCCTTCCTTGGTCATGTGATACTTGGATCATACTTGGATCAGTGATAGTTTCTAGTCCAATTTATCCTACAGGGTTATTCTTCTTGAAGGAAGTATTGCTATGTCTGCTGCCTACAGCTCCTAAAGAAAATGTAGGAATGCACACAACCAAGTAAATAAATAAGTAGTTTATTCCCCAATCTTCCTGTTCTTTAAAAAATATATATTTTTGAAAAGTTTTTTATATTTTTATAATATTTTTCTAATTATTGCAGATCCTTTCCTGTTGCCTTAAAATGGGATTTGACATGAATTATATGTAGTTATCTAGCTTTGAAATAATTAATTTGGATGCTAAGATCAGTTACATTACTTCAGATGTTTATCCAAACTATTGCTCATTCCTTTTTTTGGAGGGTTAGCAAACATTCCTGAACAATGTGGGATGAGACATATGGAGAATGGGGAATTAACTTTCCACATTATTCAGGAGATCATCCAAACCTTTCTAAGTGGCTTTTGCTGGGGTGCAGCTAGCACCAGGAGAGAAAAGCAGTCAGGAAACTTTATTTTTGTGCCTTCCTCAAGTTAAATTACCATAGAAACAAACCAGTCAGATTTTAAAATTTCTTTTTATGCAGAATAAACATGCTCATTTTTTTCTTAATTTATGGTGAAGTGTTTCCTACTTCTGAGCTATGAGAAAATTTCTGGGCAGAGAGTTGAGGAAATACACAAGCAAAACTCAACGGAAGCAAAAAGGCATTCCATTAGCGGATAGTATATTCCCCTGGGAGACCCATATTGCCACTTCCTCTGCCAAGGATTCATCCCCAGGTCCATCTAATTTCTCTGTAAAACACTCAGTATTATCTCCCCTTTTGATCTGTGTTAGATATTTGCTATAATATTATGTTTGTTTGCTTAGTGCTCTCTTTCTCTACATACTGTTCTTCAGTGTTTTGCTTATTTGTTAGTTGTTTCTCTATGTGGAGATTTTTTTAAAGCTCTGATAGTAGATATTTCTCCAAACAATTAAGAAAGTTATATGTATTTATTATTAATTTGTCAAATTTATAAGGCCACCCAACACCATCAAGACTCTGGGCAGCATATGACACAGCAAGGAACAATATAACTAAGAAAAGAACAATGCATGTCCAGAAGAGAAAAAACATTCAAATTAACATGCCCAAGCATACAAAAGGCTTGCATCTCACTCCAACTCAACGGCTGGGGAAAAGCCAGGGTTTTAAAGACTTTTTCAATACAGTCAGGGTAGGGGCTGACCGTTCTCTGGGGCGATGCTGTTCCAGGGGCGGGCACCATGATAGAGAAGGCCCACTTCCTGGGTCCCATGAGATGATGTTTCCATGTCTCAGTGTAAACTCCCATGGATGAAACATCAACTAATATTGTAGATGGTTAACCAAAAACCTAGCTTATAAAAGAATGGCCAATCAGCAGTTTTATTAGCAGTTCTTCAGGCTGAAAGTTACTTTGCCTTCAAATCGAAATGTGTCATGCTAAGTAAATGCCATTTATATATATCATCTGTTGTATTTTTGCTATTACAGACAAAAATAAAAATAGTTTCTTTGTTTCTTTGTTTGTTTGTTTTAGGAAACATAAACACAACTGCTTTTGCATCCATGAAGTTGTAAGTGGTTTCAGGCAACCTGTTGGAGCAGTACATTCTGGGGATGGATCACACCGTCTTTTCATCCTTGAGAAGGAAGGATATGTAAAAATATTAACACCTGAAGGAGATATAGTCAAAGAACCATTTCTGGACATACACAAAGTTGTTCAAAGTGGAATAAAGGTTGGAATTCCTTTTATTTACCATTGGGGACCTCCTTTCTTTTAAATCTAATCTTGTGTTACATTTTATACTATTTCAAGTTTTGCTTAATTTTAACTTTAGAAAATAAGTAATAAAATAGCACACAAGTCTTTTAAAATGAGGTTTGCACCTAAGTTATTAGAAAAATAAATGGCTTCAGCCTAATGTGCATTAATCATGATTAACATCCAACCATGATTTGAACTCAGCTAGCTACTTCAATCAGTCTACAGCCACTGTGCAGGTTTTCCAAGTAAGGTGTTCAGTTTTCTCTGAATGTACACCTATAAATGTGATCCAGTTATGCAGTTTAGATCCAGATCATTTCCCATCTCAGTAAAAATGATAGCTCTTTATACATTATTTCTATGATATAGATTCATCCCTGTTTGTTATCAAATGCTGTTAAATACAGAAGGGGGAGCTCTCACTGCATCAGCTATTTAAAAGGATAACGCTTGCTTAGCTTTTGCTTATATTAAAGTCAAATTCTCCCCTATAAATTACATATTGGAAAAGCCCTTTTCTCCCCTAATCTGGATTGTATGTGTCACGACATATTCCTTTAGAAAAACACATTTTGTTTGCAAAATTAAGACATTAACCTATAAACATTGGAAACTTTTATTAAAATAAATGGATTTTTTTTTTATTAAATGGTGTTAACTAGAAACTGAGTACCTAAGTGACCCTGTTATACTTCAGTATATGTATAACCAACTGAATGGTTTAGCAACTGAGAAAAGTTCATGAAAATGTATGTACTCTGTTAGGATTATCATAAAGCAATGGTATACTTTCTAAACTTCTAACTCTAGGATTTTATTTTTATATCGTCACATCAGAAATGCATTACTTGAAGTAACTAACACACATATTAGCTATTTAAAGTCGTGATCTGTTTAAAAACAGCATGGCATTTAAATGTTGAAGTTAAAATTGAGATAAAAATCTGTATTTCAGATTAGTAACTGCAATCAGAACTTATTTATATACATCTTTATTAATCTGAGCCTGGCATTTTAGTAATAATGATAAGCATTATTTTGCTTAAGCTTGATCCATAAAACAGTTTTATGAATGCAGTTGTTTTTAATTACTTGTCATTAGGCTTTTGCAATTAAATCTGATATGTCACTTTATGGTATACTGCTTTGATAAATGGAATTATGAAAGAATATTGAAGTTGATAAGATCTATGAAAACAATTTGCTGTAAGACTAGTTAACCTTTTCTCCTTAGGCAGCCTGTGTAGTCAAATACCGAAGAAAACACATGCCTTGGAAACTGACAAAGTAATTGTATCAAAATTATATTATAACATGACCCAATCAAGTATCCTCCAGATGTGCTGGATTACAACTTTCCTAACTTCCAGGTAGCATTGCTAGTGACAAGCCATGCTAGTTGGAATTATGGGGAAAGGATGTTAATATTCTGGAGGTGCCAGTGGGGAGGAAGCTATTATACTGTGTTGAAATCAACCATTTAAAAATGATAATAGTGTTTTAATAATAAATCGTATAAAAACATGATGAAAGCACAAATCCTCTAAGGAGAATGAGAGAACCTCCATGAAAGAGAAAACATATGTCAGGGAAGTGAGTGATACTGGTGAGAGACTGTTAAGAATATATGGGCTAGACTCCTTGACCTCAGCCACCTTATGCTCCCCTCCAGGCTACGAATTGTTTTTACATGTCACAATGGCTTAAATTTTAATAGAAAGTTTCCCTAAATCTTGAACTACATCTGCTCCTTTGTTTCTTTCTGCAGCTGAATACCAGACTGAAGTCACTTACACAAAGTGACTTCCACCTTTTTTAACAAGAAAATACAATGTTCGTATATAAATCCTTGTATAATCATCTGAATAATTCAGTTTGCCACCATTTACTTGTTGTAATTTATTGATATAAGCAAAGATATACCCTCAATGGATGTTTAGATTGAGACAATTTTTCAGTTTGTCCCTGTAAATTACATATACATTGGGTATATGTAGTTTTCCAGCTTAACTCATGTCAAACTGTAGTGCACTTTAATAAATATATTTTATGAAGAAAATATAAATATTAATTTAATTTTCATTTATTCACATTTTATATATATAGCTTTACCCCATTATTATTGCTGGCTGAATGAATATAGTAACAATTACATGAGATACTGATTATGTGATCTATAAACATCCCATATAGTGGACATCTGCCAAGTATCATTGATAGGTTCTATCATGTGTGCACATTCTATTACATGTTGCAAATATGCATTTGCCTTTCAACTATCTATGTATTTGTCACATGAGCACGCAATAGATATTTATGGAGGGGCCCCAGCAGAACTGTTCATCATACATGAAATGGAAATATGCAGTAGAAAATGAATAGAAAGCCCTTTCTTGCCTACACAATAAAAGCCCTTTCTCCTTTCCTGTGATGGCCTTTAATAACGTAATGAACACAGCTAGTTATTATTTCCAATAGAAAGTTCATCCATGCTTCTTGAATTGAAGACCATGTATGCAGAGACCATGGTTAATATCTCTGTTCTTCTCTTAAGAAGTTTTTGGTATCAACTCTTTCCAAGACTATTATTTGGCCAAAATAAAACCTCCTAAGAATAACAATCCCATAACTATCATTTAGGCACAATGTTACGTGTGATTAGCTTTATTGAAACAGAAGAAATTGTACACATGAGTGACTGTATTGGACAGTGTCTTTCTAGTCCAAAGCCATATTTGCTATAAATTTTGAAAGTAATTGGAATTATTTAGGAACCAACAGCATTTTAAATACATGAAACATCACAATGTTATAAGTATTGTTAGCTTCTTTGTTATTTTTTAAAGCACCCTTTTTAATGCTTGAATTATTCATTTTTTATCTATGTGGGAATTTGTGATTCTATTACATTTTAGAATAAAAGGATGCCTTCTCATCATCTCTCATTCTAAAATCTGTAGACAACAGGCTTAAGGATTGGTGAATATTTGTATCTTACAGTATGGTTTTTTTTTTAACTAATTATGGAAAAATAGGATCCTAGTCCTTTGGTTGCTTCAGTAGTTTTCTTCTCACCAAGACACAGTTTACTACATTTCTGTATTATATACATGATCCAAAGCTGATCTGCTGGAGGAGAATGAAAACTTAGCATAGATATTAAAGGTCTTTAAGATTCATGAATAGTTTCATCTATAGCAGAATTCAAACAGCAATTACAAAAAGAATTGCAGCTATACTTTAAGCTACTTACCTAGAAAAAACTGAGCATTTTATCCCTTGAATTTGATAAAATTCATACTTTGTTCACAAATGCTGTGATTGCTTAAAAGGGATGTACATTAATATCATTTCTCTACCAAGTTATGTCTGTTCTCTGAGTTCAGTTAGTCAGTGTGACAATATATAGTACTGCATTGATTCTTTCTTACTGACTTTGAGAGAATGACTGGAGATTTTAATCACCCTTTTTCTTAAAAGTCAGAAAGTTCCATAAACTATGCTAGGATAAGCTAAAAAATGTAATACTGTTAGCTGTCAATAAAATATATGAAGATTTATAGAAATCTATAGATCTGAACAAGATAACTCTCATGAATGCTACTGGATATAGAAAGCTTTGATAATATGTGGGCAGTATGTTTATGCTGAAGATTATAGAATGTTGATTTTTGGGACCACTGTCCTAGGCTGGAAGAACCTCCAGGAGGAATGATGATGATTCTTTATCATTTTACATGCACATGTGTAGGTTTAATGTCCTGTGTTTCCTCAAGAAGAATCCCCTGGTGCCAATTAACTGAGCTTAGTCCAAAACAAGTCTCTGTTTGGAAAGTGTAGTTTTCATTGTGGGTGTTCTTTGAAATTGTATGCTTTATACCCTGTTATTATGGAGATGTGTGTAGTATGATCAAGACTGCCAGTTTCTTTTCTGTGCACTGTATGAATTAGAGCTGCATCCCACACACAGTGTTAGATAATCTGTGTTTCTGTTTTGTTATATGTACAACTCAATTTTGAGCATTCAGTTATTTAAGAAGTGTTCAGAATGTCTTCTGATATGTAATTTGTTGTAGGCAGAGGATTTTTTTAGTCACAAAATATCAAAACCAAGTAAATGACATGTCATTTAAAAATATATAATTAAAGAAAGGGGGAGAAGGAGGGGAGGAGGACAGAAGAGAAATCTAATAGCCACATCATGGCATCCTGCAGTAGAAGTAACCACCAACAATTTTAAACCCAAAATATTGGGGTTACGAGGCTTAACCACAGCATTTCCTCAATGTATTTATCAACTTCCTGTTCAAAACATTATGACCCTCACTTAACCCATTGGAGATCTTGAAGTATATTAGCAGACACTAATTGCTATAAGGAATCTCTAAAATACTTTCTAGTCTTCTTTACTCAAAACTGTAATAATATTATCATCTTTGCCTTTCTCAGTTTTGAAAGTATACTGCAGAAAGTAAAAATGTGTAGTTTTATTTAATTCGATAATACTTTTATTGATTTTTATTTATATAATTATGGTGGCAATTTTAAGTACACTTACTAGGAAGTATGTGTTATTGAATTCAGCTGGGTTTATTCTTAAGTAAACAGTGGAATTACAGTAGGTCAACATTTTTCAAGCAGATTTTTATCATACTGTGCCTTTGGCCCTTTTAAATCTGGACATACATATCCTACTTATTAACCCTGATGATAATCTCCTTCACTTTAGAAAAATTAGAAGTGGGAAGCAAAGGAGAGACAGAATTTTCTTTTTCTCTTGGCAAAACAGTGAACAGTAGTAAAGAATGTATTGCTGAACATAGTATTCTATTGTGTGACTCCACATGGCTGTGTTATTTGCATGTATGAATACTGGAAGATGAAGGCTCCTCAGAGTCAAGCTCAACTCCTGCTGCTAAGATGAGTGTATCCACATAGTTTTCTTAGTAACAATAAAGAATTTTTTTGCTA